CGCCGCCAGCCAGTCTTGTGTGCTCTTCGCTCTATGAGCTGGCGCCGAATCTTGTTGGAATACCCAGTGCCTGTTATTGAACATGGTATGAGAAACAGGTTCCACAAGGTTCATCAGGACTGTATTTTGATACACAACTGCATTCGTTTTTACACCTTTCTCACAAAAATGTACCTCTGTTAAGCCCCAATAAGAAACTCCCAACCATACCGTGAGCGAGGATGGAAAATGACCTCGTTGGACACGCGGAATACGGTTGCTCGCTTCTTCACTACTGTGTGCGTACACAGTATCATTCTGTTTGTTGTAGCTCTCTTCTACGGTAAAAATTTTTTCATCCGAAAAAAGAATTTCCCGATATTTTTTTCCCGCGTACCGTTTCGACAAAGCGCGGCATCTCTTCAGTCTCAGGTCCATTAGACGAGCATTCAAACAATGTCCTGTTTTTCTTCGATATGCCCGAAGCCCTAAGTCTTCATTTAACACCCTTTTCACCGTGGTTCTGCTTAACCCCATCTGAAGGGCCAACAGTTTCTGCTTACGTTTGGGATTTCTTTGAATTCGCGCCTTCACAGCTTTTATCACTGCTGAAGTCCTAAGAGACCGAGGGCGACCACTTCTTGACCTGTCATCTACACTAGAGTCTTCATTGTATCGTTTGATGGTACGATAAACGAATCTTTTGGTTATATTCAAATTTTTCAGTATGTTAAAAATTTGAATTGACGCGTAACCGCAACGATGCAATGCAATAACTGCAACACGGTCATCTTTAAACGTCCACTCCATATTTAAAAATGAGTAAAATTCTAAAAGTATACATTTTTATTTTCATGAACAATTCTAAATTCAATAAACTTTTTTGTGGCCAGCATTCTAAAAGAAAAGTTTTTACTGTGTGACAATACTTATGACCTGACTAGGTATTTAAAGATCATTTTAAAGTAATTTCTCCATTAAAGACAGCAGCGTTGAGGAACGGTGCTGAGTTCTGTCAATCAGGTTTGCCAGTTCATTTTACATGTAAAGAAATAAAAACTGTGATAAAGGGTATGAAAAGAGGCAAGTCTCCTGGTAATGATGGGCTCAGCATCGAGCATCTCCAGAATTCTGGTGTTCACCTGCCGAGAGTTTTGACTATGTTGTTCAATTTGTTTGTAGGGCATTCTCACTTACCAAGGGAGATGTGGGACACAATAGTTGTACCTATTGTAAAAAACAGGACAGGAGACATAGCGGACAAGGGAAATTATAGACCAATTTCACTGGCAACCATCATAGCCAAGGTGTTCGACAGCGTGCTTGACTCACATCTCAGTGGATACACTAAACTACATGATACATAGTTTGGATTTTGTGCTGGGCTATCTACTGAGAGTGCCATTTTTGCACTGAAGCATGCTGTCAAATACTACACCGATAGGAAAACACCAGTGTATGCCTGTTTCCTGGACCTATCAAAAGCCTTTGACCTTTTTTCCTATAATATCTTGTGGAAAGCTACTGGGAGAGGGTGTACCTCCTTCATTAGTAAATATATTATCTCTGTGGTATGAGAAGCAGAGGAACTATGTACGGTAGTCCAACGTACTGTCGGACCCTTACAAACTAGAACGTGGTGTAAGGCAGGGTGGTTTGACCTCCCCGAGGCTCTTTAATATCTATGTAAATAAGCTCAGTAGCACACATGTTGGTTGTCATATAGATGATTTATGTCTTAATAACATTAGCTATGCAGATAACATGGTGCTGCTGAGCCCATCAATATGTGGGTTAAGAAAGTTGCTTTCCATATGTGAATCCTATGCTGAGGATCATGGCCTAAAGTATAACCCTAATAAAAGTGAGCTGTTGGTGTTCAGAGGTGTAAACAAAAGTCCACCTCATGTCCCGCCTCTAATGCTCGGTGGCTTACCTGTACAAAGAGTAACACAGTTCAAATATCTAGGGCATATTGTAAGTGAGGAATTAAAAGATGATATGGACATGGAAAGGGAACGCAGGGCATTGGCTGTCAGAGGGAATGTAGTGGCACAAAGATTTGCGGGTTGTTCAGTGCCGGTCAAAATTACCCTCTTCATGGCTTACTGCCAAACCTTTTACACAAGCGGTCTTTGGGCTACTCATATCCAAAAAACGGATAATGCCCTGCGCATACAATACCTAGTCAGGTCATAAATTCTGTCACATATTTAATGTAAAATAATTGAAACAAGTTTATTCATTATGTAACCATTCATATACCAAAATGAACTTAACAAAACATAGATTCTTATGACACTAAAGTTTATTCAAAATTACCTCCGTGATTTAATTACCTCCCTGAGTTGGTATACGGAGAAACACTTCGATTGCCAGGGGAATTGTTTCATTCATCCAAAAACAAAACGGAAGATCTTACCGATTTTATTACTAGACTCCTATCGATAGTGAAGGATATACAACCGCAACCCGCACATTTGGTTAACACTACAACCAGACGGTGCGGCTCACCCCAAGGACGGAGCCTACGAGGCGTCTCGAAAAAAAACAAAAAAAAAGTCCCGATTTTACTAAATCATTGACCCTCACCTGTGATGCCTCTAACTACGCAATTAGTGCTATCCTCTCGCAAGGAGATCCAAATAAAGAAAAGCCAATCGCTTACGCATCCCGGACCTTAAACAAAAGTAAAATAAATTATAACGTTACAAAAGAATTATTAGCAATTATGTATGGGTGCAAAACTTTTAAG